AGAATTACTTAATATATTTATAAGAATATTTAAAAACTTGCTATTGATTGCTGATCGATTATCATGTATATTCTCACAATTTTCTTCGAAAACTAGTAACGAAAGAACAGAAAAAAACTGAGAACACACGTAAGTTCCGTCCAGATTCATTAACGTCGTCATTGTCATCCTTACTTTCCTCTCGATGTCGTTTCAAGCAGCCGTTTAGGTTGCGCGTCGCGCCGTCCGGCTCCGGCAATTTGAGATAAACGACGTCGTGGCGATGCGGCGTCGTAATCCCGCGGAAAAGAATCGCGATAGAAAGCCAGTGGAATCCGGTCGAATTTCTATCGAAGCCCACCCCGAGGTCCGTTCACTCGCTGACGGTGCAAAACCGCGCGTCGCCCGGTTCTTTGCCGCGTGACTAAATTATATTTTACACCGCCGGCGACTTCGAGCTCGCACATTCCCGGTTTCTTAGACGGCGAGAGAATTTTCGTAAGGATTTCGCCGAATCCCCTATCTCTCGAATCTGTGTATCGAGATATCGCACGTATGCACGCAAAATGCCTACAAATGTCTCGCGAAGTCTTGCCGCGACGCATGATAAAATGAAAATAAAAATGAATCGACCGTTTTATGATTTTATTTCATTCCTTTCAGGGTAAATTCCAAGCAGCAAATAAAACTAGCGTATCACATATCGAGATATCTATTTTTACGTCCTGTCGAAGTTTTCGTAATTTTTTTAAATTTCCGAGATAAGGATTTTCTCTCATTAACGTCGTCGGTGCTTGTAATTGCAAATAGCAAACGCGAGAGTCGCGTTTAATTCCAACAACGTTAATGTTAATCGTGGCTAGCTTGTAAAAGAGTTCTATAAATTCCTCTGTTCCATACGGAATCTACGTCTCGCATACGTCAAAATGTACGGAATGATTTCAGAATAAGCGTCGTCGTAATAAGTGAAGAAGTGAATGTCAAAGTGTTGCGGCGACAAAATGTTGTAAAACCCGATCCTCGGAAGTTTCACCAATGGATGTAACAGAAAAAAAAGCAGGTTCGTTCTTTTTTTCTCTCCTCACCGTTATATCTGTTGGTCACAATTAGCGACGTTCATTAATAATTCAGTGCAATCCATTGCATCCCGTCATTTGCGACGGAGGTGTAAGCGCGTTATTTTAAATAATACAATAGAAAATCATTTTTTTTTTTATAAAAATAAATAAAAGAAATGACCGAACTTTGGCAAATACTTGACGGTTACCTTGTCACAATCTTGTAAATAAAATGTAAATAATATATTTTTCTGAAACGCTTAAGCTTAAAGCTTAGTTACAGCAGTTTCATTTATCATTAGCTTCGTAGCAATGATTATAAAGATTTAGAACTGTAATTGGAATCATTTGCTTGATATTGAAACCACTTAATATTGACATTGTAAAATGAAGCTTATTTCGATAAAGAATTTAATTATAAGAAAAATTTTCCTGAAAAATTGTTACATCTTTCCACGACATATTTCTCTATAAATTGACAAACGATGATTGGGACAATTAAGAGTAAAAATTTTCACACAGCTTCAAGCAAATCAATCACGATTTGCATTAATTCCTGTTTCGAAGCAGAATAATAAAAATTGTGTGAAGCATCGCATACTAATATCATGCCATAATTAAATGTAAATTGTTTAACTCGATTCAATGCAATCTTAACTTAATTGCATGTTTACTTGAAACCGAAAACTGTTCACTGAGAATGAAAAGAAAAAGTGAAAAAGCGAACGATTGAAATACAACCCTCGCAGAGGGTTGCGCTTTCACAACGTGTGAACAGGTGCATCCTATACAAAGTAACGGTATAAAACGTAACGGTAAATGAAGTTACGATGAGATACATCCATTTTTTATGCGTCCATTCGCGTAAATCCAGCGAGAAGGTCCGCCGCCCACGAAGCCGCGCGACGAAGGTGTCACGCGATCACTCGGTAATTTATCGATCGCCGTTTGCTCGGCAAAGACTTATGTCCTTACGTCGAAAAAAAATGACAAAACAAAAATACGTTGACGAGGTCGTCGCACGACGAAAGTGAGAGGATTCGTAAGTACAACCCGGAAGGACAAAACGAGTTCTCACCGAAAGTGTCCTTACGGTTATACGTGTGCGAGACCACCGTGTGTAATATGAACGCGGAGATACCTGTCGCAGAACGCGATATTATATCGTCATTATATTTTAATGTAGATAGACACGATACAATAGCAGAATATCGAAACTTTGAAGTTTCTAACCTTAGAATATTCGAAACTTTTTAAATTGCATTATTAATTTATCAATAGATCGACTCATACTCCTTTCTTTCTAATTTAATTTAAATATAAAAATAATCTGTATACTATAAAGAAGTCTCCTTTGATTAAAATCCATTATTTCAATATATAATTAATAATAATGCGACAGAAACATGCGCTGTTAAAAACGAATGATGTGGAAATCGTCAAATTGCTAGATCTTATCAACAGTATTTTCATCGATACTGTTATATTCATAATATGTTCGATCGACATAAAGGGTGTATTCACCGATTTCAAAATCGGTTTGGGTTTTCTTTTAGATTCGACAGAGAGACATTGAGAATAATTTTAATGTATTCTGTGGCGAACACCTGATCCATCAAATCGGCGTTTTAGTAAATGACACAAGCCGGCAATCGTTCTCACGCGGCTGTTTTAATTCTACACTCGTAACGAACTCTTTTCGGGACCGGTTCCACGGTGGTCTCGCATAAATCGCGTGATGTAATAACTCTGTCGTACAAGAAAGATCAGACGACTCGGAAATGGAACCGCGTAGGAAAAAAAAAAGCACATCAGACACAGAATATTCGACCGCGAATATGACTTCCGCCGTGCGCGAGCATGACTTTCATAGTCTGTCTCTCTCTCTCTTCCCTTTCTCTCTTTTCTCGATTAGCGAGCGCGAAATTGGAGCAAAAACTTTAAACGGGGGCTCTCTCTCTCTCTCTCTCTGTGGATATGTTTCTCCGTCAAGATCTCTGACAGATCAAAGCGGATCGCTAAAGAAACTGTTTCTTACCTAACGCACACAAATCGGGAGTTATAAATATAATTGGTTTTAAAGAATTGCTGCCCCTAATTAATAAAAACTCCACTAACTAAATTTTACCGTAATTATTTTAATTAAAAAATTTGTAAACTAAATAATGTAAATTTAGTAAATAATTATGTTAAATTTAATAGATTTTTTTGTAGATTACAACTAATAATTTTTCGCTTATAACTTGCAAGTTATAAACACAATATTAACCAATGCTAATTTAATACCTCTTGACTTGTTTCGTTTTTGGAATATATTACATTTATTAAAAATGATGCTATAATATAAAAAAAAAAGGATAAAAATGTAAAGCGAATAATGACTAACATGTAACAAAGTTCTACTCACCATGATTGCTCCAATTATTCAAAACAATAACAACAATAACGATCCGTGACTTGTAGCACCGCACGTGAGCAGAAATTCTCCGGATAGCGTCTTATTAATGAAAAAAACAATATAAACCGAGAGAAAACTCAAACAACGCGATGATATTGCCGGCAGATCGGAAAGAGAGAGAAGAAAAAGAAGATCTCGTTATTGATACGGATCAATGATCGAGGATCCGCCGCCGCATGATCGGGGAACTGTCACTGACAGCAGTTCGGGAAACACTGACTGGTATAGCGAACAAGCCTACTGTCATTCTCTTTCTCTCTCTCTCTCTCTCTCTCTCTCTCTCTCTCTCTCTCTCTCTCGCTCTCTTGCTCTCTTGAGCTCTTTCATTTTCCCTCTCTCTAGTCGTATTGCTCTCTCTTTGTCTCTCTCTTTCTCTTTCTCTCTCTTTTTTTTACCTACCTCCCTCTTCTTCCTTGAATGGAGAGTACACTCTCTCTTCTTTGCACGCTATGTACAATTTTACAGCACACCTTCAATCGGCGACAACGACGATGGTAATTATGACAAAGACATCGCGGCTATAATAAAGGCGATGATAATGTTCTGCGATGAAAACGTTAACATTATATATTTTAACGCTTTTGGTGTAACCACGCCGGCAATTAAATTCACCTTTCATTTTGCGTATAGTAAGCGATGGCATGCGCTATAGCTGAAATCGGTCGCGCGGGATGGCGCGAAAGATCGGCACTGGCAAAAGTATCGCCTTCGCCGGTGGTCAGTTATAGAAAAAAAAAAAAAAAAAAAAAAAACACAAGGCAATTGATTATTAAATTAAAGCAAATTTTAATTTATAGACCATAAATAAGTTACTAAAATTCTTTTTTACATAGTTTAATTATTAATTAAGGCAGATATGTAACGTAACGATATATAATATGTGTATATGGCTTCAGTATTATTTAATTAAAATTTCTGCTTTTTATATTATAAATGTAAATATAATAATTGAAGTTAATTACGTTATGGAATTTTAATAGAAAAAAAACATGTGACACTTCCGCGATTGTTTGGAGCGCGATACTGATCGGCGAGGAAGCGAAACGAAAAATAATACAGAATGTAACAAGAAGTCAATGAACTCTGTTACTGCATGGCACAAATGTACTTTAATGTAAAGCATAATGGCTGCATAATGCGACTGGTATACGTAATCGATCGGTTATTTAAATATTGCAACACTCTCAATATAATTGGGGAAATGTTCTGGCAAATTGTCGATGGCGATTGTGCGATTATTCTATATAACAGTTGTGCTATGATAGATAATCCATATGGCGGAGCGTTTACGAGTTAATAATCCGAAATCAATTTAGATCGATCGATGTTTACGGCGACGCTAAATTTTCTCTACGAACTCGAAACGTCTATTTAAAGACGTATAAAAAATCTCAAATTGTTTTAAACATCATCTAATCATAACATCCGATCTGATTAAATCATCTTGAAACTTTCAAAAGAAGAATTTAAACATTCATTATTAATGATTTTCATAAATAAGTAGAAAGTCGATAATCAAATTTGCATCCTGAAATTATAAATGCGCAAGTTATTTCTCGTTGTAAAAATCTTATTAATAGCAAAATAATAATAGAGAAGGCGATCTGACATTATCCTATCACGAATTGATTAAATATCCTTTCGTTTCTATAAGATAACATAAAGATTAACGAGAAATTAGCAATTATATTTTTGTTATTTTCTCTTATTTCGAAATTTTCTCTTATTTCTATCAAATACATACATCACAGATATAATTTTAATTTAACCATATTAGAAATTTTTCCGTTAATTATCAAAGTATTTACAACATTTTTTCTGCGTATCTTTTATTCTTTTAAATAAAATAAAGTGATATTATGCATATATTAATACATTACGTAGTTTATAAAAGAATATATGTAATAATAAAATTTTTAATTATAATAAAATGTATAAGGAAGAAACCTATGTTTAATGATCTTCTGTGTAAGTACAGTACTTGATTACTACTTTGATCGTATCGCTCTAATTATCTATTCCAAAAGGCCAGTATAATTAAGACTGGCCAAAGTTAGACTTTCGCTAAAAAAAAAAAAAATCAGCGGCAAATTACTTCCAGAGTACATTCTTTCTTAAATGCCATTTTTCCCAGACGTTTCTATAGAATCTTTGCTACCTTTGTAAATGAGCAAGGAACCACTTTAAATATTCCATCAACCTAAAAAACCTGTGCTATTTCCTTTGTGATCTTGATCTATGATCTACAAATGGTATCGTAATAATAATAATCAATTACGTACTTTAAACGCAAACAATCCAAGATCTGACACTTAATCACTTACACTTCGATCAAACGATGAATTTAATTATACACGCTATAACACCCGCGGCTATAACGAGCCTGCGTTAAATCATTTCATGATCACACACGATGACTCCTGACAAGAGGACACCGGAGAACCTAAGAAGAATCCTAATTCGCTTCGTAATCGTCACGCAGACACGCGCAGACGTCCGTCCGTTTTTAGACCTTCTCGTTCATTTAACAGGCGAAAGTGACTCTCGCGATTCTTCCTTCGCGGATATCTCTCGCTCTTCATTACCTTTCTTACCTTTACCCAATCCTCTTTGCTGTTTACGGGTAGGAATTTTAATACATCTATGTCGCTATGAAAATACCTTCCCCGTTTCCTTTCTCTCCGCCGCCCTAACGATAATCTAAGTATCTGCATAATTAACGTTACAGAAAGGTTGCTCGGACAGCAACTCGCGCGTGCTGTAATTTATCGAAACGGTCGTTGACCTTTTTTCCCTCGAACCTCGCCGTTCGCGGTTTATAACAAACGCGACTCTATCGGATTTCGAAAATTGCCTCTCCGCAGAGGAGGGGGGAGAGGGGGGGGGGGAGGAGGGGTTTATTTGTTATACGTTATATTCCTCCGTGTTCTTTTCCGCGTGTCGAATTACTCAATACTCTCGTGACTGGAAACCCCCGACTTCAAGTACCTAATGCTATTATAGTGCGCAACAAATTGAAGGCTTCTTCTATCGTTTAAATGAGATTTTATATAAGATAATTTCGACAGCCTCTCAAGACAGTCGAACGCAACCGGACAAAACCGAATGTATCAAGTATCCGTCTCTAAAGTCCGTAAACTCTCATAGCGCGCGGTTTTGTCCGTGATTTCACGTAGCTCTCATTTACACTTAGGTTTTGCGTCGTGTGAAACAAGAGCAGTCGTAGTATGGTTTGTTTAAAATTATTACCCTATTGAATATTGTGTTACGAAATTGGAACCAGTAACAAAACACGCTGAACGGCAAGCTTGGAAAAATATCAAATTCTATAGAACTCTTTTATACAAAAAAAATATTTAATTAAAAATTTATAAAACACGAATTTCTAAACATTTATATATATATATATATATGTATATTATTTATAAATAAATAAAATAATTTTACTTAAATAATTTCAAAACAGTTAAATTATTTGTTTTTTAATATAAAAGATTATGTGAGTCAAACGTTTGTTAGTTTTTACATTTGCATTCCAATCAATTTTATTTTTGCAGTATTACGTCATATATCGCATTTTATTTTTCACTCACTTAAAAAATATCAATAAAATTCAAGATTTTTACAAATATAGTATTATATGCATTCTCTTTACAAATTGCCTCACAAATTTATAACACTTTTATAAATTAGAATATTGACATTTATCGTTTTTCTTTTTTTATAACAGTGACTAAATATTAAGTCAAACATATTTATACAGTGTTATATATAAAAAGAATAATGCGACAATATAATGCGAACACTTCATCATTTACTAATAAGTTTTATATAAATGAGAGAGACTTTAAAATGTTGTGAGAAATTTCAAGCAATTTAGGAATCTCATTACGCATCACGCGCACATTATGAATGTCAGTGGTGGAATATCTCGTTATATCTTAATAAGCAAGTTAATTAGAAATTAGATCAGAGAGTGTAGCAATTCCAGAATCTCGCACGCGCATCGTGTCAGTAGAAACGACTAGTAACTAATCAGACAACAACGAAGGAGAACAAGAGAAAGAGAGAGAATGGCATGCCGTGGCAGAGCGATTTCAGTCGTGTTTGAGATGATTCCATTAAATTGAGAATTCGAATCGAATTGAATGTAACGTATGTTGACGTACGTGCATTTCCCTGAGACGAATAACAAATGTAGAAGACAGGATTAGGATTTCAGTCGCTGGTCGCATGTTATATATTTTCGTAAGAAATTCACGCAGAGATAAATACAAGAGTAATTATAATTATTACAGTAGTAATTGTATGTTCTCGTATATATATATATATATACGATATTTATGTATACACGTGACGTTGAGAATAAATTACGTTTATAGGTTGATTCGGTGAATGGAGAGAGTTTTACACGGCAAGTGCGCCATCGGCGAATGAGATGTGCAGAAGGTGACATCGCGCGGCAGGTCCATTTAACGTCGTTCGATCCAGGGGATGGTTTATAGATTTTTCCGAGTTTCCTCCTTTTCCTTTTCCTTTTCTCTCGTCTCTCGTCTGTGTTTTCTCCCTTGGTACTTTGCCGAACGAAGAATGTTTAAGTTCGACGCAAATTGTTAATGGCGATTTCTTCATAAAATCGATCGCGCGAATAACGATGTCGTTTTCGTATCTTCCTTTCGTTTGTATCTCATAATAGCTTTTTTTTTTTAGCTTCGCTTGATGTGCAGATTTCGAGTTACTACAGGATGTTTTTCGATTACGTTTCAAGTGGCACGATCAGCGAAAGATAACGATATATATATATACCTCACGAGACGACGCGAATTGGGATTTGGGCCAGCGAAACCGCATGCCGCGCGCGATCGTAGAATAGCCCCGAAGGAAACGGAACGGTCCGGCAAACGATTTGTTTCAGTCCAGATCTCCGATCGACCGTACGGGATCGATCGTACGCACGTATTCCTATTTTCGGCGGTGCCGGTATTTCCACGATCCGGGTAGATCCGCGAACCGCGAACCGATCGAACCGCAACTCAACTCGAACGTCTACCGGCGTCTCTTCCTCTTCCTTCTCCATCGTCTCCTCCTCCACCTCCTCTCTTCGCTGCCCGATCTCCGCCTGAGATTCCTTTTGCCGCGGATGAACGACCGACTCCTCTCCTTCTCGGTTCGAATGCACGCTTCCTTCTTCTTCCGTTGCCCTTCCACCGCTCCGGCCCCAAGATTACATGATTATGCACTTGCCTTTCTCGGCCCAGGGATTGTTCTTCTTGTCGGGCGCGTGTATCAGTGGGTCATTCTTCTCGTTCTCTTCCACGTATTCCCGCATCCTGCCGAGAAGAAGAATAAGAGGGTCAAACTCGGTGCGCCAATCTCGCGTAATGCTGAAATTGCAACCTGGCAACCTGGCGTTACTACTCCGGCGCACAGCTTACCTAAGATACCTATGGCGTAATAAACGTGCGATTGTGATTCGTTCTAGTGGAATTAATTCTTCATTACGCGACCCTTTATCTCTTTGTAAACTCGTACTTTTTATTTCACATTATGACACATGCAGATACAAGAGAAAAGATAAATCCGGTTTCCAGTAAATGAAATACGCTTTCATGGAGTAAGTCAGACTAATCTCGTCGTCGTATTATCGTGCAAGTAATATAAATTGTGTACACATATAAAATATTTAATAGGCGTAATAATATATTTAACTTAGAAAAATAATATTCTTTTTATTCATCAACTTGTAACGTTTGCGTATGATCGTTCTAAAAAAGAGCATTTTTTATTCGGAGAATAAAAAAAACACGTCAGATTGTCGAGATTACATTTCGCTCTCGATAAAATCGCCTATTTTCATTCTCAATCTTGCATTTTTCCCGACGACGGCCGGCGCCCCGCTCGCGCGCGGAAACTCGCCGGAGGCGACAGATCCGACGAGCGTTTTCCAAGACCTCCCGGAGAATGTTCCGCGAGGCGTTTGTGCGCGCTACGATATATTATGCCACCCCCGGATTTAGTAGATCGATAGATAAGTTCGCGCCTCCGCGATGTAGAGCAACGGACAGCTCGCGGCCGATGCGAGCCGCCGACCGACCGGTCGGCCGAACGTTCGTTTCGCGAGGAAGTCGGTGAAAGGAAACTCCCGGTTCTCGGTTTCTCGCTCGCGCGGCCGATTTTGCGTTCAAGGAGAGTCGCGCGCAAGCGACAACGGTAACGGCAACATGTCGAGAAGCTTTCGGACTTTGTTGCCGCTAGGCGTTCGCCAAATGCGAAATGTCCGTGGAATTCCTTCCCGCGGGATACAAGAGACGGTCGGCTGTGCACGCGCGCGGTTTCACTGCGCGCCTCGTTGCGACGAGCGACGATCGAAAATTCTGTCTGGTATTGTTATTTAAGCCTCTTCCAGTCTCGCGTGCTACTTGAATAAGTATGCAGTATTTGTTTTAAGTGACAGCAGCAGCGTTTATACGCATGAGTGGCGAAGTAAATGTATAAGAGTTATATTTTACAGCTGCGCGAAGGAATTCGAGGTATTTTTCGATAAATAACCCGAGGATATAAGTTCTTTTATATCGATCCAAATAAAATCGTCATTTAATAATAAATGTTTTAAATTCAAGTAGAAAAATTAGGCAATTACAGTGCGGGAAAGAAACACACGTGATTATTTTATTACAAATTGTAAAGTAAAAAAAAATAAAATAAAATGTAAAATAAAGAATTTTTTTATATCGTATTCTCTAATTCTTATATTGTTACGGGTTTGAATTTTATTTGGTCAACAATAATCGCACTTCGCGCTTGATCGATATTGATTTATTAGAGTTCGTGTAGGAATCGCGAACTTTCACTTATCAGAGTCCGTCGTGCAATTTTTAAGTGAGGGTGAACGACCTTCTCCGATACCCGTGTCGTAATGTTATCGATTCACGTTTCTGACGACGTCTATTATTTAGCGGCCATCGTTTATATAATGAGCGGCAATCGTCGAAATCGGAGTAATTCTCGAACCGCGATGTCAAAGCGGAGTCGTCAAGCGGATCTGTTATAGAAACGAAATGAATGCGATTCTGTCCACTTCACGCTCGAATTCACGGTTTGTCTCACTTTCGTGTTGTCTATGTTTACGGCCTGGCGGATGGAAGTCGCAGTTCAAGGCACGAAGATCGAGTGAAACTATCGGTTGACAAAAATATCGAGGATATTTCCAGTATTTCCAGTTTCACTAAACACTCGCGCACTACCGGAATTTATTTCAGAGGAAAAAGGCCGCAAAATTTAAGAGAAATATACGCTATTAACGGTATATCTCGTGAGATTAATTTAAAAAGAAAAAAAAAGAGAGAGCTCACTTTCAGTAAATGTAATATACAAAACACACTGAACCTATAAACCAATTTTTTTTTAAAGAAATTAAAAGAAAAATCAAACGAGGAGATAGAAAGAGAGATTTTTCGAGACTAATGTTTTATGTTATAGATACAGAAATTTATATATATTATTTAATTTTTCTGTAGGCGTAATAGCACAATTTCTCGAAAATATTTTGTGAATAAATTTTACCTGATTATTGATTAATAAAAATCATTTATTAATAACAGAGCTAAGATATCGCGAATAATGGGACGTCCTCGGCGAGTTGTGAAAATGAGAGCGTATCGGAAGAGCACGACCCACATTGCGTTCCGATGAATGCAACAGGCGAGTGGCGTCGGGTTTAAAGGAGGTCATCCTAAATTCAGGAACTGAGACGCGACATCGGCGGCCGCCAACGTTGATATTTCGCGTTTAGCGATTTCGATTCGTCGCGTATCACCATGATCCGCCTCTGTTAATTAAATCGAAATTAAATCGCGAAACCTTTCGTGGGGCGCTAATGGATCCGATCCGGCGGGCGAGAAGTCACACGTCGCGGTCTTCCGCGTGTTCCCGCATGCGGAACGATGCGGAACCGCGCGCGTTTAGATCGGCGACGGTCGTTTCTCGCGGCAATTTTCGAGGCGAGTACCGAGGCGCGCGTAAGCAAAAAATTACCCGCGGTCTCGCGAGACTTCTCTCGAACGGTGAAAGGCGGCAGAGCACCCGCTTCCATCCCCTCCGCTCCGCGCGT